AAAGAAAGATTTTTGACAATTCTCAACATTCCTCATTGTAAAGTCCAGAGAGGGTAAACCAAACTCACTACACAAAGTACACCAGCGTAGGTCTGACGAGTCGTGGGTCACAATTGAGGGAAAGATGCTCATCTTTGACATCGACGAATTTGCATTGATATCTAGGATGAGAATCATTGGCTCTTGTAAGAAATTGTCCTTTCCCAAAATAAATCAAGGTTTGTATGACAAGTACTTTTTGGATTTTCGAATCAGCATTAAGTGTCAATTTCTAATTAAGGTATGGAGAAATAATCCAACTCAAATCCATATTATTTAGTTTTCCCACTGCGTTGGACATTTCAACTGCATGATCATGGATTGACTTTGACCAATAATTTTTCTTTTGTAGTTGGCTCACTCATAAGCTACCTACAACTGATTTGTTAGCCGAGTTCGACAGGAAATAATTTTTCTTTTGTAGTTGGCTCACTCATAAGCTACCTACAACTGATTTGTTAGCCGAGTTCGACAGGAAATATTCTCTAATTTTGAGCATGTCCCTCACTGTATCTACTTTCAAAATTGAAGGCTAGTATTCATGGACATTCTCCTAAGGTTCAAGCTCAGCATATTCAACTGCTCCTAATGTTCAAATCTATAACATCCAAAGTAAAGTGGATTTATTTAGACCAGTCAACACAATTTAATGATATTTCAGATTCAGATGGCAAATAGATTTGAAAAGGTTCCAATCTAATCTATACATTCTCACTGTTAGTGCTTTAAACTAACTGAATAGATTCAGAACTTTTTAACAGTAATTTTAATAAACTTGCCGAGCTCAAGCTTATTTATCAGCTCGAATAGTTAGCAAGGATTAGAGTATCAAGAGCTGAAGCTTGACTTGACCCATTTACAACCCTTCAAAAAATAACCGCCCACCAAATTATAAGCCTGACCACCAGCTACTCAAGCCACTTTCTTGGGATGAACCACAATATTGAAGGCAAATTGAAGACATGCACATTTAGTCCATATAACTAGTTAATCATGAAATATAAGCATACATATCAGATAAGCAGTGAAGTAGCTCACAAGTCATTATAGGAGCAGAGAGAGGTGTGCACAGAATAAAAAATAAGTTGATACCATCAGTAAAAGAGGAAACTTTCACAATCATAATCCATTCTAAAAGATGAACAAAATACAATAAAAATAAGATAAGTCGCCAGACAATAGCAATAAAGACAGAGAGGAAAACGACACACTTCACTTCTTCTTTTCACCACCTCCCGCGGCCCTGCACAAATCAATGGCAAATCCAATTAAAGCATAAAATATAAAGAAGAAAATCAAACAACTGTCTCAACTAGGTATTTGTAAATGAACAAAATCATATTGAAAATAAAATACAAACTCGATTATCAGAACTTTCACAAGGAAATAAAATTCACCTCATCTTGCGAAGGGCACCAGCCATCTCCTCTCTCTTCTTTTTTGCCCTCTTATGGGTGCCCAATTTTCTCTTGGCAACCTTCAGAGCACGCTTGTCCTTTCCAACTTTAAGAAGCTCAGTGATTCTCTTCTCGTAAGGTGCAAACCCAGCAACCTCTCTAATGAGACTCCTTGCAAAATGCACCCTCTTGCTCGTTTTCTGTATTATTCAAAAGAGTGCCATAAAAGTAAGGATCAGGATCAAATGCATCAGAAGTCACATTGAAACTACAATCGAAAACAAGGAAACAAAAAGAAAATAAAAAAGATCCCAATTCTGGATTTAGATAAATTTAGGTCTGCACATATAGTTAATAAAATAAACTCAAAATTCATACCAATAAAGAAATCTGAATATTTTCATAATATGCATATAGTAAGTCTAAGTCCATGTAAAGGACTTGCAAATAAAAAAAAGCATATTAAAATATAGAGAACTAGATATAATTCCACTTCAAAAAGTTCCAACACATTAGAATGGGTACAATTATACATTACAGTGACATACTAGAACATGAAACTGCAGGAGTTGAAACTAAGAACCCATAAAATGAGGTGACAGATATAGAAGTAACCTTATTACTATTTCACTTCTACAGACCAAAACGAAAATGGCATGAACACAAAGCAGAATAAACTAATCAAGATTGAATGTCACTGAAATTTGTTCTACCAACAAGCAAAAAAATCTTACCCCTTTCCTGTCCGAAGGGCGAGGAGCTAATTCCTTGGGGGTAACAACATGCCCCTTCTTCAAACCCACAAAAAGTCCACTATTTGGCTGCTTTGGAGCCATCACCTACATCATAACAAACAAATCCGTTTGAGCAAATCACTTATCGGACTTATGAAACAAAACTGCCATTTTCATATCCCAGTAACGAGCAAACAGCCAAAAAGAAAAACAATAATTTCTCAGCACGACTGATATATCAGATCACAGTTTCTAAAGAGGAACGACATGAGCAGGAATCAATACAAAACAAGATATCCATCTTTATAAAGAACAAACTAAAATACATAAATAACCCAAGTCAAATCTTTCATCCTACAAATATCTTTGAATAAAGAAATGAATAACTACACATACACACCAATTTTCGTATGTAGAAATGGTGGGCTAACCTTCTTTCTCCGACCGATATGCGGAACGCCGGTAGGACAGTGAGGCGGAGGATGATAAAACAAAACTAGGGTTTATGAGTGGCGCTTATATATGAAGACGAAAGGTGGGAATGGTTGGGATATTGAGAATTGGAGTTTATTGGGCCTTTATTGGGTCATATGAATTTAGAGCTGAATTGGGTGGGTTTATTGGGCCTTTTAGTTGAGCAGTTGAGGCTTGGATCTGGGCCACATTTCCATGACGAACTTTATGAAAATAAAGACACCCTCCATCTCTTTTGAGATATTAATTACAACGAAGAGGTGTTTTCATGATTACTCAGTACGAGGCACGGATGAGAGATATTAAATGAATTATTTTCACAGGCTCTGTCCGTTTAAGTCTGAGAAGGATTATTATTCATTTCCCACCTATTTTAATCACCGTTAAGTCTCGTTTAAGTTTGAAAAGAGTTATCATCTATTTTCCACCTCTTTTAATCACCGTTAAATCTAAAAAAATAGGGTTGTAATATATTTTTCACATCTTTTAATCAGCGTTCTTTTTTTAGTCAGAACATTAAACGTGAGCATGTTAGGGTTAACTTGTAAAATAATTAATATATTATCTCACCAACACATTTATACTAATATAAATTTAATTTTATTATATATATTTATTCCTTGATATAAAAAAAATAACAATTTTACTTATTCTTATTCACTATATAATAGTTAATTACTAAACTCTGTTGTCATATAATATCATTATTATTTATAAAGTTATACAAGTTGCACGTCTTCTTGTTCTTTTTATTTTATGTAATGAAATATATTTAATGCATGTTGGTATTATTTATATAAGTAATCAATTTAAAATATGTAAATAATTTAAAATTAAATAGTGTTTAAATAATGTATAAAATATACACATATATTTTTTTAGAAATTAATTTTGTATATTAATTAAACAACTTTGATTTAGGAAAAGCCATGAACTCAATATCTTCTAATATCAATATTTTTCTAATTTGCATTGTAATGATTATTCTTATTATATATATAGATTAGAATTTTTGCGACACCAACCAAACTAAATATTACAACAACCAAGTAACAATTATGAAAAAACCCATAACACAACAACTATCAATTAAATTTGGTAATAGAAAAATTACATACATATATATAAAAATATGAGGATTCTATATTTCTATTAACTGATGTATACACTACGTGTATATTTTGTTAAGGTATATTGGAATGTTCAATTTCATAGCATGATAACAATCAGTCTTAAAAAATAAAAAATCTTATTGAAATGCCCTATTTTTCTGTTAAAAAAAAAAAATTCCCATAAAAAATAATTATATCATAGCAAATTCATTGTGTAATTGAACAAATTTTTATAATGAAGCCCGATTTTCTGTACAAAAATAAAGCAACAACTTCCACATTTTAAGGAAATCAATTAGTGTTGGTCCGTTTTTGCTAAGAAAATAATAAATAAATAAATTGTAATTAATGAAAAGTAATTAATGACCATATCTGTTTTTAAAAATTGTAACAGAAAAAAAAATATTAAATAAAACTGTATAATATGGAAATAGTAATGGCAATAAATGTTGTTGACTTTTCTAACTACTAAATTTGGTGAATATTAATATAAGTATAGATATTGCTATAATTCACATTTATATGTCATACTAGTACGTACAGGGTGCGATGCATATGACAAAGATATTAAATGAGTTACTTCACAGACTCGGTCTGTTTAAGTCTAAAAGCTTATCTATTCTCCATCTCTTTTAAACAGTGTTAAGTGTAATAAAAAACAATAAGGTTATAATCTATTTTCTACCTCTTTTAAACAGTGTTATTTTTTTAGCCAGAACATTAAATATGAGCATGTTAGGGCTAACTTATAAAATAATTAATATATTATCTCACTAACACATTTATACTATTATAAATTTAATTTTAGTATATATATATTTATTCCTTGATATAATATAAAATACTTCCTCCTGTTATAAATAATTGTCGTTTTGTCTTTAGTAAGTATTAAGCAAATAATTGTCGTTTTAGCTTTTTTAACTTATTTTTTTCCATTTTTACCCCATCCAACTACTCTACATTAGCGTCTTCGCATTCAGGTTTCATCTTTTCCCAGAACTCTATCTCTTTCCCATGGCAATATGTATTTTTTTAACTCACTTTACTTCTTTATATTCATTCCAATCCATCTTCCACAATTTGTGTGTGTCATTTTTAATCCATTTTTTTTCTAGTCCTGTTGATTCTTATTCCATTGTTCTCCCCTTTATTATTTTCTCTTTCGATTAATGGAATCGAAAGGTCATGATGCTTCAAACCAGTCACTTATGGATGAAGTCCTTCAACTATTGGAGAAGACAAAGGCAAGTCTAAATGTCACCCATTCATTCGCTTTGCAAATTAGTGATACGGCAAAGTCATTTAAGGTGTATGTGTCTGATTTGGAAGTTGAAGACGATGTTCATCAATTTTCTACAAGAGGTTCATATATGCTTTCTCACTTTTTACTTGTTTCAATTAATTTATTTAGTTTTGGAAAAAGATGCTAATCCTTGCTTGTTTATATAAGCAGTTTATCATCTCTCTAGGAATTTTTCTTAAAATATTTTGTTTTGTTAACTAGTCGTCATTCATTATATAATTAATGGTAGAGTAACTTAATTATTTGAGAATCTTTTGCTGAGTTTCACGCATAGAAAAGTGTTTTGATTTGAGGAGTCCGATTCAAAACTGACTGGTTTCTAAATTATGCCATTGCATCTGAAACTCATTGACAGAAAATTTTGAATTTTACAACAAATTGTATTAGCAAACTTCAGAGCACATCGTTTCCTGTTTGTAAGAGTCTTTAGGCATAGATGACATAGTTACTGGGTACTGGACAAATTTATGATGAGAAAGGAAGATTTGTAACTACTGAATTTGTTTGTCATCCAGCTTAGCCTTCTANGAAAAGTGACAAAGAACAATGATGGAATAGGTTGTGTTTTCTTGGAGCATGCTTTGTTTATTCCTCATCCTTGATATATTACCTTTTTGAATTGTTTTCAAAGTTATAAAAACTCTATTGATGTTAGCTATGTTTTGTTGTATGTGGTTCTTGACTTAGTGACGGTGTAAACAGAAGTTCAAACTAAGGTTAATGCAGTTGGAACCAGTTTTTCAAAATTTAAAAGTGCAACAAAGGTTAATGAGAAGCTTGTTGTTAGGGAAGCAATATCTAATCCAAATGATCAAGTTGTACACGAGATGCTGAAGATTTTTGTGCCAACGTTGCTTACTGAGAAGTAGATTAACAAGTTAAGGATATTATGAAGGGTACGGTCATAATTCGTTTTACAGACTATTTGCTTGAGCCATCTTGTATTGATTAGGAAGTGGTTTGGTTTTATGTTTCCCAGTAGTGAATTGTGATCTATGTTCTTATGATCATTTGGCATGAATGATCTTCACTGAGATACTTTTTCAATGTTTAAGCTCATTGTATTAGCTCAATCTAAGTGAATCACTTCGCTGCGATGGTTTGTACTTTGATTTTCTTGTATTAGATTTTTTTTTT